TTTATCTATATACTACAGTTACAAAGAAACTCTTGTTTTTCTTAAGAGCACACTACTAAATTTCTCAAAAACATCTAATCCTTAATTCAATCTCCTTAACCTCTTCTGAGCAACAGCTCACTGTAGAGTGGAGTAATCACATTCCACCTTTTAACTTTGCTTAAAAACTTCCAGCCAAATGTGTATGAAGTAGATGTATCTCTCTGCATTATGGGTTTCCTAATATAATACCTCTTTAAAAAGTAACCTACTGGAAGTCACCATAATAAATAGTCTGTAATTAGGTATAGAATGTATTGTTCAGTTATTAAGATACAAGGAGAGAAAGTTCAATGCATGACTTGTGAATATTTCAAGTACACTCAGTATTATTTACTTAAACCTTTCAGGAACCCCATATTTCTTAACTAGGAGAAAATTGCCACTGAGCTAGGCTATATTAATATAAAATATGTTTAACGATGTCCTTGCTTGGAAACTACTAACAACTGTAGACAGTGTATTTTATTTTTTTTGACAACAGAGCTGCAAACCACATTATGCAACTCTGTATAATGTTGTTAAGCTGTTGGTAGAAGGACTTTAAGTAAACAATCTATGTCATCAAAAGACTCAACGCATTGTCATCACCTATTAGAATTTGAGCAATGTGGGCAAAGTCAAAATCTTGCAAGGAGAACTCTGTGCTTCTGTGGGTTAACTGCTACTCAGGCTTGGAGAACAGGCATTTCTATTTGCTGGCAGACTAATTAAGTGGAAAGATATGCCAAAAGAGTTCTTCCCTCATTATTTTTTATACTTAACATTTATTCATGGCTAAGCTTGGTTTAGTGGTGAGAGGGGCTAGAAAAATACACTAATTCCCCAATGATTCTCTGATTTTTTTTTGTTGTTGTTGCAAAAACAGCAGAACTTATCACCTATTTTGAATGAGAAGCCATGAACAATTCCCTAGTACAACACACATTCAAATGCTAGAGGTTGTTCTTCTAAGTGGAAACATGTTAACAATAAAATATTTTGTCTATTAATATATCGAGTAATAGGGGAATTATCTTTTGGAAGGCAGGCCCCTTGGAGGACGGATTTCCCCCTGAGTGTTCCAGGAACCCATCTGTATCAGTATATCAGCTGGCATTGTTGTGAAAAGCTATGACTGGCTTCCGTGAATTTTTTTTCAAGACTCTTTCAAGGAGTGTTTGTCCGTTTTATGATGGGTGGCTTATGAACTCACCTGCCCACATCACGTTGTGTTCAGCAGTTTTTGACCAAAGAGGCATGACCTACTTGTCCCACCTTCCCTATTCACCTGATCTTACGCCAAGTGGGTTTTTCTTGGTTTCTCCACATGAAAAAGTCCTGAAAGGGAAACATTTTGCTAATGTGGAAGAGGTGGGGGGAAAAAAACAAAACAGCAGAAGCACTAAAAGGCATCAAATTCAGCAAGTTCAAAAACTTTTTTGAGTAATGGAAAAACATCTTGATAGGTGTTTTTCCTCAAATAGAGAGTACTTTGAAAGTGACTGAAGTTTAAACATGTAAGAAAAAAATACACATTTTTTTATAAATAAATTCTTGTGGGTTTTTTCGTTCTCCCTTCTATGACTAGAGTAGGATATATTTAGACATCCTAGAACAGTCATTAAGAGCACAGGGCTGCCAAATTGTGCCTTGGATTTGAGTGCTTGGCCCAGCAGTCATTGCTACATTGACATCAGGCAAGTCTTCTATCTTCTATAACTGGACAGATAGTAATAAGTGTACTATGAAGCATGTAAATTTAAGCTAATTTTCCTAGATAGATGAGTCACTATAATTATAACATAAAATAACCAGAGAAAAGAATTCTAAAATATATTTCAATTTACTCCACAAATATATGTACTCTCATACACACAACTGCATACATTATATATACAGACATGCAGACATTGCATACACACAGCAATATTTTAAACATTAAGTAACATACAAAATTTATATCTCAACTCTATCCTACCTCATGGGTACTACTGTATTAGGATTAGAAATTCTAACAGCATTTTGTAAATAATTGTTCCTGTTAGTACTACTGTTGTTATATTGTGTAATTCATGTTATGCAGTTACCATAAATCAGTAAATTATATGAACAGAACTTATTCTACAATTAATCTAGTTAATTTTGAGAACCAATACAAATTGAGAGTTGTTTAGAAAAAACAGAATGAAAAACTTGATAATATTTTGCACTTACATAGAAAATTTTATTCTATTTTTTTAATACTTCAGTCTCATAAAACTCTTAGGAGGTATGAAAGGATTATAATTATAAAAATTTGATTAAAAAGGGTATTTTTTCCTTCAAGAAATCAAGATCCTTTAGGGAAATGACTTGCACATTCTTTTGGACCGTTGCAGGGAGTGCTAGACTGATAAAAATCTTCCCATCGGGTCCCTTCTCTTGTGAATTAATGTAGCACTTCTACTTGAATGGCTTTGGAGCTTTATGGTTCTGTAAATGTCATCATAGAGTTGCTTTTAAGTGTATATAATTTTATTTAAGCCCAAAATGTGTTTGCATAAACATCCCGGCAGGGTTAAACAGGTTGACTAGAAATCATTTATTTAGTTGCAAAGCAGATGAGTTAGACAACCACTGTCCCATGCACTTGAGGAGAAACAGAAATCTGCAAATGTCAAAACTGATAAAGGGTTAACAAAAATTTAAAATAAATCCATTATGCACAGGCATACCGAGCAGAAGGCCCTTGGGTGCATACTGCCAATTACATATAGAATGTAGAGTAACAAACCGTCCGTTGATCAGCCCAACAACCATTTTAGGACTAGTTTTAAACACAGAGCTCTTCAAATTCATATTCTCATATTCTTCAGTCCTGAGTCAAGGGGAAAAAAATAAACTGTCACAAAAGAAAATAGTTTGTAAATAGTCTTTTCTGAAATCTTATATTTACCAGGACAATTTAATTGCCCAACTGCAATTAAATTCATTGAATTAACTTTATTTTGTTTTTATCTTTTTCCCCCACAGTTTTTTCATCTGCATCCTGTATTGTTCTTTTCCTCTGTGTTTTGAACACAAAGCACACCTTTTATTTTCAAACCCAGTTACCCAACATTTGTACAAAGGAAAAGTCTTGTTTCAGGGACAGTAGGAAATATCTTAAAATAATGGCGGCAATAATGCTGAAAGAGATAACAGATGGTATTTCAGGTTGATCGTTTTAGGGTTGCACTTTATATAGTTTACCAGTGGAATGTCAGCTCAAATGGGTCAGGCATTTTGGGAGTCCTGATCACCGATCCCTTCTTAGCATCTGAAATTTGCCACTAGGTATTCAGTGAATATTCATGGAATATCTTTGAATAAGTCTCAAATCCTCCAAAGAATGCAGCAATAAAGATATTATTAAATTTTATCTCAATTTTGCTGCTTGGGAACTGAATCTCAGATGGGTTTTATATTTTTCCAAAGTTATAGGAGAGACTTCAGCCTGCTATTTGGGTCTGCTGAGCTATGCTTCTGGAAAATTACCTTCATTCAATCCAGTCCTGTAAATGCACAGGTGTTTGTAATAGCATTTTGTACCAATAACTTATTCACAGTGAGCAAGTGAGCAAATAGATTAATTAGGACTGGGGAATAGGAGGCTATATAATAGGATCCAGAAATCAAACCCAAGTCTGATTATAGCTATATGTTTCTCTTTAATCTACACTGCTTGGCATGGAAAAAATAGGATGGTGTTGAGATGTAAATTCTGTATGTAATCTAATATTAGTTTATAGTATAACACTGTGTGTATGTAATGTGTGCAGCTGTGTGTGTGTATAAGAAAAAGTGTATTTGGGGACTGAATTGAAATATTTCTTACAATTCTTTTCTCATGGATAATTTCATCTGTTAGAATTATAGTAATTTATCCATCTAGGAAAACCAGCTTAAATTCAGACCTTTCATAATATATTTATTACTATTTATCAGGCAAACTTGGTTTCTCACATATTTTTGCACATACATAACAATGCAAATATCTCTATTTCTTTTCATCACAATATAATGCATTAAATGAAATTATTACCAAGGAGAGAACTGTGTCTTATTTTACATGTACGAGAAACATTGTTAAGTCTCAGTGAGTGTGTACTGAACTAAAGTGAACTATTTTAGTTACAGAACGGTAATAACTAAAAATTAACACTTAGCAAACACTGTATGCCTTGTGCTACCTAGATGCTTTATATATAAAATTCCCCACTATAATCCTACCAAATAGATCTTATTGTTATTATTATTTTTACTTTTCTGATAGTGAAATTAGGGGAAATCATATGCCCAAGATGATACAGCTAGTAAGAAGAACTGAGATTTGAGATAAGACCCAATTCTCATTAGTTTTTCTACTATGAAATGAGGCCCACCTCTTACCCCCATGTAAGGTATTAATTGCTACTTAATGAATGTAAGACCAATGATCTGTGCTATGCTGCTCACTAGTTCAAAAGCCAAAAGTAGGACCAGGTCTCAGGATGGCCAATATAATTGTATTTATACTACTTCACTGAACTCTTAATTACTGTAGATGAAATCACATCTGTCTTGTTAAAAGTTGTATTCCAGAATTTGGTATAATAAAACCTCTTATATGGCACATGCTAGATAAATATTTGTTTGTTGCATAAGTAATTGAAAACAACAAAACATTTCCTTAAATTTCTATAATAAGTTGTTCTCAAAGTGGAAAGATAGATATTATACAGTTGCAAAGGTAAGGCCTCTGTTTCTATAGAAGCACATTCCTTATAGCTTTGTAAACGAGTACTCATTAGTGAACTGCATACATTATTTTGAATATCAAGTCCTAATAATTCACTGAGCTAGTTTGTATAATGATGTTAATTTTTGTGTATATCTTGAGCAACCCACAAAGATTTTGTACAATCTGCATATAGACACCCCATGAATCATCGCTTAGCTAGGCCTCTCTGGGGTGTGTCATGATAGCTAGTATTCAGCCACAAGTTGGTGAGAGATATTTGGAATTGTCAGAGCTCCAAAGAAAACGATATCTACAAAGGAAAACTCATCCTCGGATTTCAGTAAGCCTACCTCCTGTCAAATTTCAGCATTGTCTCAGCAATCAGACGCACACGTTTGCACATGGCAGTGACCAATGGCAGATGGTCCGTGGAAGCCTGCCCAGAAATGAGGCCAGGTTAGCACAGACTGGGTGCTCTTCTCTGCTTTATGCAGGCGGAGGATTTCTGTTCCATTGCTCAGACAGACGTATTTCATTGTAACACTGGTATGCAGTCACAATTTGGGTTTATTTATTCCACATTCTCACTAATTTTTCTCATGTGTAATCATTCCCATAGGCCTTATTTGGACCACTAAGATACATGGTACTAAACTTGTGAAGCACATGACTGAAGAAAGGCTAAATACACCTTATTGCAATGTAATAAATAATTATTGAGACCCTAATGCTAGGATTTTCCTTTTTCTTTTTTACTTTTATTTTCTTTGGTTAACCATAAAATAGAACAAGATGGAGTTGACATGCTAGCCAGAGCTCTGAGATTAACTAGTTAGGTGCTCTCTGCCCTTCGTGTGTGGGTTTGCTCTTCAATATGAGAAATGAAATGATCTCTACAGGTCAACTTTCTCTGCCATAATTCAATAGTAATTTTTTATTTGAAATATTATTCAGTTTCTCTCACAAGATTACCCAGCATAGTCAACATAATAATAGCATTATAGAAGGGAAATCTATAATTCCTAGAATCCCATTTGTTTGGTGCTATGTGCATTAGTTCTTAGGTTTAAGTACTTTTACATATTTTAAATACGTGCTATTCAATAGACATCCTTCAAGTGTTAGATTTCATATCTGTTTGTTTCTTTCTTCCTCTTTTTCTTATGTAAGTTCAGCACAATGATGCTAAAAAATAAAAAGTATTAAAATTTTTAACATGGACTGAAAAATCTGAAACAATTTCTTTGTAACTTCTACATCAGGCTATAATGATTAGAATTATAGCTATGGATTATCCAATCATTAAACCATGCGTCTAGCCATTACAGAATCATAGCTATGGATTACTCATTCATTAAAAAACGAAGAATATTTACAACAAAACCACATTTAGATATATAATACCAAAATTGCTGGAAGCTAAAGAGAAAGAGAAAATTCTAAAAGCAAGACAGAGAACCTTGAAAGAAGCAATAAGACTGATGGCTAGATTTTCAGTAGAAATAAGGTCATTGTCTCTAACCTTAATTACATACTCAGATTAAAGCAAAAACAGAAATAATATTCTTTTAATTGTTGACACTATGTCCCTGATTTTCCCCCGTTTACCCTCCTCCATCCAGCCCCCACAACCCCTCAGCCTTCACAACATTGTTGTCTGTGTCCATGGACTATGCATATATGCATGTATGTTCTTTGACTAATCTTTTTACAACAAAACACAGATTAAACGATAAAGAAAGAAAAAGACATGCCATGCAGGCACCATCGAAAAAAGCAATAAAAATCCCCTCCCAGCTTTTATATTGCTATATAAATACAAGATGAAATAGCTCTGGGCTTTAGCATATATTAAAAAAAATAAAATTTATAAAGATAAAATGGTCAATATACTGGAATAATTTAATACAAAAAAATTTAGGTACCTAATAATGTAGACTCAAAAATAAAAGTAAACACAAAACTGACAGACATAAAAGTAGAGATATATATATTCACAAACATAATGAGAGGTTTTTAAATATCCTACTTTAATACTGACAGATCAAGCAGACAAATACTCTAGAAGGATATAAATAATAAACTAGGTAGACTTAACTGACATATATAGAACCCCAATCCCCAAACGGCACAACACATATTTTTTTCAAATGCACATGAGACACAATATTCACAGTATATTGGGCTATGAAGTAAGTCTCCAGAAATTTTAACAAACTGCTCATTCAACTTCACAAAAATCATTGTTCTTCACTTTGAATGTAAATAAAATTACAAGATGCAGTAATCTTTATCCATCACTAAGTTTATTTAGTTTTAAGAAAAGACACAAGACTTGCAATGCATCAGGAATGGGAAGAGCACAGCAGGAATCTCAGAGCAGAACCCGTGTCTCCAACATGCTCTTGGGATGTTCATGGCAATGAGAGATGTGGAAGTGTGTTCAGAACTACATCAGCCCAGAGAAGCTGGCCTCTTTGGAGGGGGATGTCTCTTCCGGTTGTATATCATGCAAGTTACACACTCCCCTTTTAGGTATATGCTTTATTCTCATTATTCTGGGTAGCTCAATCTCATTAAGTACAGGTTACTCAATAAACATTTTTAACAATAAAGTACACATGCACAGTCAAAACAAAACATTTATTATAGATCCATTTGCTCCTATAAATGTCTTGACTTATTACTGTAAGAGGATTCTGGCAAGCATCAATGCCAGGTCTTTCTGGGGCTAGAGAAAAGGATGCAGATAAACTGTTAATGAACCTTACAAGCAGGAAACCATTAACATAAACATAATTAAAACACATGCAAATATTCAAAAATTAAACAGCAAATTTCTAAATAATCCATGGTCCAAGAATGATCCAAAAGAGGACAAAATGATCGAAACTTGTGGGATATAGGTAAAGTTTATTATAAAAAATATTTAGGGCAATATTAGCAAATTAAATCCAATGAACATAGGAAGAATAAAAAATAAGATATATAGCAAATGCACAATAGAAATTATAAATTAAACCAAAGTGAAATATTTTGAAAATCAAAATTGCTAGAATAAGTTATCAATAAGTGTACACAAATTAACAATGCTTAAAATTTCAAAATGGATGTTACATCAAATTTTATACATTAAAAATATTGAGATGATATTATGAACATTTGAATGAAGTATGTTTGGAAATCTACATAAAATGAACAAATTCCTTGAAATACTGTATCCACTAACCAATCAGATGGTTAATTAAAATATTTTCCCCAAAGACACACTAGTTCACAAGAGATTCATTAGTAAGTTCTTCAAACAATTTAAGAAAGACCAGCATCAATATTACACAAAATATTACAGAGAATTTTAAAAAATGTGGAAATGCTCCCCAAGGTGTCCTGTAAAGTCAAGGAAACTTTCACACAAAAATGAAGGGATATCACAGGCTCATCTCCCAACAAACACAGATTTAAAATTTCTAATGAAATGCTACTAAATAAAACCCAGTAGTGTCCTTAAGGGTAATACAGTGTGATTAGTTTTGTTTTTCCTCCCAAAATACAAGGTTTACCTAGTATTTCAAACTCAACCAATTCAATTCACTATTTTAAGAGAAAGGGGAGAAAATTGTATGATAATGATTATTTCAATAGATAAAATAAATACATTTAATAAAATTCAATAACCATGGATGATTGAAGAAAAAAAATTACTTTAACAAAAATATTTGTGCATTTAAGACCATGATGTTACCTTTATATTAAATGGTAAATATTAAAAACTCTTCCTTTGGTATTAGAAAGAGAACAATCACCTTTAATTGAAACATGGTAACAGAGATCCCATTATTGTAATAAAATGAAAAAAAAAATTAAGTACATAAGGAGTGGAGAAAAAGTAATAAAACTTTCTTTGTATGTGTATTTTTTTACATACACATGGCTGTACATGTAAAAAAGTTAACAAGATTACAAAAGAAATTGTTAAAAGTATTTTGAGAATTGAGCAAACTTGATAAAAAACAAATTTTAGTTTTATAAATTAGTAAAGAGATATTAGAAAATGGAATTGAAAAACATTATTTGTGATAGAATCAAAATAAAATACTCAGTAATAAACCTAATACAATTTGTGTGAAGTCTGTACCCAGAGAAATACAGGATGTTCTTAAGACTAATTAAAAAGACCTAAGTAAAGGAAGACATTTACTAGGCTCGATGAAGAAGTTTAAAATTGTACTGATGTCAGTTTTCAATCTATGCAATTCCAATCAACATTTCAATATAATAATTTCCCTTGACAAGATGATTCTCGATGTTAATCAAAACACCTTTGAGGCTGAAAGGCTTTCTGAATAAAAGGGTTTACCGAGCCATATGTTGGCCAGATAAGGACCAGGTTCTGGGGCATGCATTCCAAACCACCAGCCGGAGCTGCGCTGGATGAAGAAGGCCTTCCTGGGGCTGAGGGGGCTCCTTCATGCAATGAGTTGGGAGAAGAAAGATATAAGTCGTTTTGAAAGAATTTATGCTGGTTGTCGTTAAAGGGGTGGGGGATGGTGAAGTGGGGCGAGCTCTAGGATAGGTGCATAGTCTCTAAGGACGGTGTGCTTGCTGCTTTTGGATTTGTTCTGGGTACAATTTGGAAAGTTCATGCAGAATTAGGATGCTGTGGAGTCTTGAGGTCAGGCATCTCTTTTTAGATGAAAGCTGAAATAGCCACATAGACGTTGATTCAAAATTTCAGCCTCCATTTAGGAATGTCAGCACTCTTTAGTTGATTTCTGGCCCAGCTCTGCTAACTGATTAACTTCTAGTCTTTACTTTGCACCCTCCAGCCTATTGTAAGTTAATTTAGGCATCTAAGAATTTTTCTCTTGTTACAGAAATTATCCAGAAATATAAATAACCAGTCTGGCAAGGAAAAGGTTGGAAAATTTACATACCAAGTATCAAAACTTGTAGAGTGACCAAAGTGGATAGAAATAGAACAATGGATCCGAATACAAATTTTAGAGAAACATTTGTGTGTGTGTGTGTATATATATATGTGTGTGTGTGTGTGTTTGTGTGTATATACACATACAAGTATATATATACACAATATATACGGGTATATATATACAAGTATACATTGTGTATATATACACACACAAATATCTGTGTGTATATATATGTGTGTGTGTGTATGTAAATGAATGAAAGAGGTCCCAGTTCACTGCAATAAAGAATGAATGGTCTGTTCAAGAAATGGTGCTAGGACATCTGGATATTAAAATAGTTGATAATTTACATCATTTACTAAAGTCAATTGCAAGTGGCTCTTTAAGTCAAATGTGAAAGATAAAACAACAACAAGAACAAAAAAACAGCCTGGCTGGTGTGGCTTAGTAGATTAAGCACAAAATTGCAGAGCAAAAGGTTATCAGTTAGTTTCCCAGTCAGGGCTCATGCCTGAGTTGCAGGCC